GCACGCACAGACACACACACACACACACACACACACACACACACACACACACACACACACACACACACATCCCGTTCAGTCCAGACAATACAGCACGCGGTTCCCTACGGCAGTTACGTAACGCTCACCTTCCCCGAGTGTTTTTCCCAGCGTTAGCTTGTGTCTGTCCACCATTACGTCCTGTAGCTTTTGCTTGAGCTCATCGCTGATCCCCAGAGAGTTCACTGAGAAAAGAACGAGCCATCTGAGAGATCAGCATCCAATTTCAAAGCTGCTTTGAGTGTTTTCAACAACATGTGAAAAAAACTATAGATTCTTTAGAGAGAAACCTGGTTTTGACACTGACACAATGCTGTTTCCTCTCTGTACTGTAATATGATCATCAAGTGACACAATCAACCAAAGTCAGCTGAGAGTTAAAGGTGATACCTTGCTGACGCTGAATACACAATGATTTTTATGTTTACACTCGCTTTATTTCGAGTGTCTGCAAGTTTACATGAACTTGCTTATCATGTGTTATGTACATGTAAATCTGAACCTTTTTGAAGAGACAATTGTCTGTTTTATTTCTATTCAGATGACAAAATGAGAGGTACTATTGGAATGATATAGAGGACATAATTCAAAAGGAATTGCAAATTGTATTTGCCAACCAGAAAAAAGAAGCAAAAAGAAAACTGCTGTGAAAATTGTATTTGCAATTGCGTTTTCAATTTGTGGACGCATACATTGTGACATAATCCAAATCCAATTGCAAATTGCGCATTTGTGTTTCCGTTTTCTTTTCCATTTATGTAATATGTCTGTCAAATTTTAAATGGAAACGCAAAGTCCATATGCAATTGCATTTCCAAAGTCTTACGAGTTATGATTCTATCTTTTTGGAACAGCAATAGAAAATCACCATTTGGTGTTTCACTTTCTCCGCGTCCTCCAACCCGCACAAAATTCATTGGAATCACAATCCCCTTCACACTTGCATTTCCAATGCGTATCACAATCAGCTGTCAATCAGTCTCGAGGGCGGGGTTTAGTGATCTAGTGGGAAGGTATGCCATGCATTTACTGGTGGAAAACAAAGCTCCATTTTCATTTTTATTCAATCCACAATCCAAGAGATCAGAAAAGAAAAAAAAAATCACGTTCAATCGCAGCTCATGTTCAATTTGTAGGAAGATGCTCTGAATTCTGCTTCATTTTTCTGCAACATATTTTATTCATAAACTATATTTTTATCTAATTGACATAATAAATTATCAGACACAATTTCCAGTCGCACACAGGACGAGAAGTGCAGAGCAACGCACCGGTATCACACACTAGCGCTGTGTTCAAACATCTAATCACAAAACAGGCAAAAGTTCACTTCAAATATGAACAAAGTGGTGTTTATGAGTTTGGTGTTTGACAAAACAGAGCAAATCGAAAGAAAAAGCGTGATCCATGTTATAGCTATTTATATAAAGCATACAGGCTTTATTCAAGCCACAGATAAAGTTTTTCTTAAAAATGCACAATACACGATCAGTCTTTATGAACATTAACAGTAATTTAGGACAAATATAATGTGATTTAATGCAAAACGATTGCCGCGGACGGTGTGCATATAGGCCTACTCATAGAAAACAGTTTGTTTCAATTTTAAAGAGGTGTACAGCGATGCGCTTCCTTCAGTTGCGAGGTTTCACAGATCGATCTTCATTTCTTCTTGACATTGCTATCAACCACAGCAGTCTTCTTTTGGTTTCTTTTGTTTGAAGGTGATAAATATTTAGTTCCATGTTTTTGTCTTTGTTTGAAGTGAAAAAGTTTTACAACTTTTTTTTGTTGCTAAAACAGACACATTCATTGGATATTTGTTGCCATTTTCCTCATAGGATTGAATAAAAATTAACATAGAGCTTTGTTTTCCACCAGTAAATGCGTGGCATACCTTCCCACTAGATCACTAAACCCCGCCCTCGAGACTGATTGACAGCTGATTGTGATACGCATTGGAAATGCAAGTGTGAAGGGGATTGTGATTCCAATTAATTTTGTGCGGGTTGGAGGACGCGGAGAAAGTGAAACACCAAATGGTGATTTTCTATTGCTGTTCCAAAAAGACAGAATCATAACTCGCAAGACATTGGAAATGCAATTGCAAATGGACTTTGCGTTTCCATTTAAAATTTGGCAGACATATTACATAAATGGAAAAGAAAATGGAAACACAAATGCGCAATTTGCAATTGGATTTGGATTATGTCACAATGTATGCGTCCACAAATTGAAAATTGAAAACAATTTGCAATTCCTTTAGTATATTATTGTGTAATATCATTTCATAAGGTACATTATAAAACGGATAGTTCCGGTCCTTGATTCTGATTGGTTGAGCCGCATTCGAAGCTGTTGTAAATGACTCTACAAACATACACCTTTTGTTTACGTCTGACTACATTGTAAGAATACTGTTTTTAGTAATATCATTACACTTTATTTGCTCTGTTATTTTGTGAAACTTGAAACTTTATATGGAATAACCGTTTTATAAAAGCAATAAGCCCCGTGAAGCCGTGGTTTACAGTGAATTTATAACAGCTAACTCCGCTTCGCGTCGTGCCTAACAACGCCCCTTAGCTGTTATAAATTCACTGTAAACCACGGCTTCACGGGGCTTATTGCTTTTATAAAACGGTTATTCCATATACGTAGAAACAACTGAAAGTCACATTTCTTTTATGAGAATGAATTTCACTCACAGAGAATGTCCGTGTCAAAGTCAAGATTTAACAGAATTTTTTTTTTTTTTTGCTTAATATTATAATAATATTTAACGAAATAATAATAATTGGACAATATTCTGGTGGTCTGAGTTCTCAAAAACTTGACATCCTTGTGCATAAAATGAACCCAATTAACAATAAAATTAACCAAAGGCAGAAGAGGCAGAAGAGCAAAAATCAAGCCTCACCCTTGAGTTTTCCTAATTCAATATTCTGTTTCACTCGGAAACACCGGAAACACATAGTTCATTTGTTCTTGAGTTTTGTTCATATAATGTTCATATAATCTCAAGTGTGATGAAAGTGAACCAATTTGGCCTTCATGGAGTAATGAAAGAATGACAGAAGAGCTGTGATGATTGTGACACAAGCAGCTGTTTATATTTTCACTGACATGAGATGAACTAGCTCTTCCCAATAGCCTCTATCTGAAGAACGCCACTGACGCTCCTGAAGCATGAACTCAGTAGAGGAAGTAAAAACTGTGTTTAGCAGCAGTGTGTCAAAACACCATATGATTTTAAAAATGTTGCAAGATTGTTTTGTTCTTCGAATGAACCCAGATGGGAATCAAGACAGAAGGTGGGATAGAAAGAGAGAGAGTGCATTAAAAAAAAGAAAAAAAAAAGAAAAAAGGGATTGCTATCAACCACAGCAGTCTTCTTTTGGTTTCTTTTGTTTGAAGGTGATAAATATTTAGTTCCATGTTTTTGTCTTTGTTTGAAGTGAAAAAGTTTTACAACTTTTTTTTGTTGCTAAAACAGACACATTCATTGGATATTTGTTGCCATTTTCCTCATAGGATTGAATAAAAATTAACATAGAGCTTTGTTTTCCACCAGTAAATGCGTGGCATACCTTCCCACTAGATCACTAAACCCCGCCCTCGAGACTGATTGACAGCTGATTGTGATACGCATTGGAAATGCAAGTGCGAAGGGGATTGTGATTCCAATTAATTTTGTGCGGGTTGGAGGACGCGGAGAAAGTGAAACACCAAATGGTGATTTTCTATTGCTGTTCCAAAAAGACAGAATCATAACTCGCAAGACATTGGAAATGCAATTGCAAATGGACTTTGCGTTTCCATTTAAAATTTGGCAGACATATTACATAAATGGAAAAGAAAATGGAAACACAAATGCGCAATTTGCAATTGGATTTGGATTATGTCACAATGTATGCGTCCACAAATTGAAAATTGAAAACAATTTGCAATTCCTTTAGTATATTATTGTGTAATATCATTTCATAAGGTACATTATAAAACGGATAGTTCCGGTCCTTGATTCTGATTGGTTGAGCCGCATTCGAAGCTGTTGTAAATGACTCTACAAAGTAACATACACCTTTGTTTACTTCTGTGTGTTGCTCGGCAACCACTTTGTTGGAACTACAACTGTTTCTAAGGAACTACATTGTTTGGTGGAAGAATACTGTTTTTAGTAATATCATTACACTTTATTTGCTCTGTTATTTTGTGAAACTTTACTACGTATATGGAATAACCGTTTTATAAAAGCAATAAGCCCCGTGAAGCCGTGGTTTACAGTGAATTTATAACAGCTAAGAGGGGTTTAGACTCTGCTTCGCATTGCACCTAACAATGCCCCTTAGCTGTTATAAATTCACTGTAAACCACGGGTTCTTGGGGCTTATTGCTTTATTTGAAAACAACTGAAAGTCACATTTCTTTTATGAGAATGAATTTCACTCACAGAGAATGTCCGTGTCAAAGTCAAGATTTAACAGAATTTTTTTTTTTTTTTGCTTAATATTATAATAATATTTAACGAAATAATAATAATTGGACAATATTCTGGTGGTCTGAGTTCTCAAAAACTTGACATCCTTGTGCATAAAATGAACCCAATTAACAATAAAATTAACCAAAGGCAGAAGAGCATGTGCGCTAAAAATCAAGCCTCACCCTTGAGTTTTCCTAATTCAATATTCTGTTTCACTCGGAAACACAATACGGAAATAGTTCATTTGTTCTTGAGTTTTGTTCATATAATGTTCATATAATCTCAAGTGTGATGAAAGTGAACCAATTTGGCCTTCATGGAGTAATGAAAGAATGACAGAAGAGCTGTGATGATTGTGACACAAGCAGCTGTTTATATTTTCACTGACATGAGATGAACTAGCTCTTCCCAATAGCCTCTATCTGAAGAACGCCACTGACGCTCCTGAAGCATGAACTCAGTAGAGGAAGTAAAAACTGTGTTTAGCAGCAGTGTGTCAAAACACCATATGATTTTAAAAATGTTGCAAGATTGTTTTGTTCTTCGAATGAACCCAGATGGGAATCAAGACAGAAGGTGGGATAGAAAGAGAGAGAGTGCATTAAAAAAAAGAAAAAAAAAAGAAAAAAGGGCTTGTTATGGTTGTCCAGATGACATAAACCCTCCACCCTTTACTAGTGCTCAAAACAAGCTCACACTTTCATG